CTATATTTCTTCTGAAAAGAGTCAGTACAAGAATAACAGACAATTTATCTTCATTGGTTTCATATTCATACCCTATTTGATGATCAAAAAAAATATTATAATAATAGTTTTATCATTCTAATATGGTATATCACAATGACATTAAGTAACTTTTTTTGAAGAAACATAGCTTTAAAATAATTATGAAAATATACAAACCGTACAAAAGGCATGTAAGTAGACACATACAAAATTATACCTCTTCAAATAGCATAGTTTTCCAGAAAAGGCGTTTACAAAACAGACCATAAATAAACTAAAAAATGGATATATTTCTATTTTATAAAACTGCAGTGGAAAGCTAGTAGTTACAGACCATCATGACCATGTAACACAATAATATCCTTCTTCTACCCAAATAACACTTACTAACTCTGCCCCAGATTGGAGAAAAGGTGTTTAAAGTCAAAACTATAGGCCGCCATGTTTTACAGCACAACGAGATCCAGTGATCAAGCAAACAAGGATTCAGCAGGTCATTCGAGCTAATAGAGACTTCATAATACTTACTTCAACTCAGCAAAGTAGTAACTTGACCAAGAACCCAAAACTTTGAGAAACAAGGCCACTAGAGGCTACGCTAGAGCGAAAAGAGCATAGGCATACTGCTCGTGACGTCACCAATATACCAATATAATTTCATGTACAATCCACTTCCTGTTTCGTATCCACTTGGTATATATAGTATCTATGTTTACCCTCGCTTCCATGCCTACGCGTGGGCTCAGGTAATGAATGACAGACACACACAACAACTTTTTACCTATACCTCGTGTAGGTGAGGCCAAGTTGCATTAGCAAAATAGTCATGTATGCTTGGTTAGTTTCCAGTTTTTTCTCTTTATAGTGTTTAGTGTTTATCAACAACTTTTTCCTTCTTTTTGGAAAAACTGGGACTCTATAGAAGTCAAGTTCCTTGTTTTCTCCATGCTTGTTTCAACACCCAACATTTTGGTATATGTGCATGAACTGTAGTTTTTATTGTATGTAACCACAAATATGTAAACTGATGTAATTGATGTATTGTGATGTAATGCGTGCACTCCTTATTTAAAGCTGTGCAATCTATTATTTCTTTCTGGTATTGTTACTGTTTATTGTTATGTTGATTATTGCAAGAGCTAAACCTTTTAACACAACAGCACCACAGCTCACTACCATTTTGCTTTTTGCCAAGCAGTGGGTGTGTCTGACCACATGTACCCCAATGTTTTGCCAACTTCAAAAAGTGTTACCTAATGCGTGGGTGGTGTATACTGCCTGCATGATACTTCGCTTAGGATGTAGCTTTTATTTTTTTCAACAAGGTTGAAAGAAAGATTAAAGATTAAAGTTGGACCTGTACTGTATTTTGTCATATTGGGTTTAAGTCAATATACAATCAATAATAAAATGCATTGTTTATGACATAAGATGTACAGCTCATCTTTGATGTTGTGTTGTGTTATGCTACATGTATGTTGTCTGTTTTAATTTTTTGAATTAATAAAAGATTAAACATAAATTTATTCTGTATTATTTCCATAGGATCAATCTCTTTAGATTATGTCGTATAATATTTGTCATCATACCTCAAGCTCTTTGCATATTTTTTTCAGAAAAATATTATGACAAATATGAAGAAGAGAAAGAAGAGCGGGAAAATGATGAACATGGAAAAAGGTTTTTTAATGATGAAAGATTCCGATCAAATTTGAAACCTCACGAAATTGAAAAAATTGAAAGTGGACAAACTCAAAATTGGGATTCATCTTTGTTCTTTCGTGCTCTTCTCCGTTCCAGCCACTTTCTTTTAGCTGATCAAATTGGGCAAGCATATGAAATTTCATCAGATTTCATAAAAGCTACAGTAAGATGTAACAAGAATCTCACAATTACTGTAGTTGATGAAGCTGGGAAAGAATTCACCATTTCATCAGATTTAATGACAGATACAGAAGAATGTAACCAGACTCTCACAATTAAAGTAGATGATCATATTTTTTTTGACTGCCGCAAAAACTACACTATAGCGAAAGTTAAGAATGTTTCATGTAATCACCAAGATATTATAATTGAATTTACTAAAAAATTAACTTTATCTCGATCTTATCCAATTGATACTTATGTGTGCTCAAAAGAATGGGATGCTGTTAATAAGTTAAATGACATTCGTAATGCGTTTGCTCACTGTTCATCAACTGGAATTTCAAAAGATCAGCTACAGAATATTGTTAAGGATGTTCAGGAATCATACACACAATTGAAAATTCATACGCATCATTTGCTAGGAGTCCTGGATGGTAAGACATGAATGTTTTTTTTGATAATGTTATGACCATCAAACTATGCTATCAAAGCTTTTATGATTAATTTGTGATTAATAATGTTTTAATTACTAGCACCTATTTTGGAAGCTCATGTTGCAGAAGCAGAAAAGTTTATGAAAGAAGCTGAAGTTGACAAACGCTTCCTGGAGTTTATTGATGGCATTAAGAAAGGCAAGTACAGTATAGGCGCCTTTGTTTGAGGGCTGTAAATTTCACAAATTTGCCTAAAATCTATTCTGTGCATTTAATTTCACAAAGTTATGCCTTCTTCCATCTTTTACTGTAATAATTTATTATCGTGGAAGTAATTTTCACAAATTTTCAAAAAATTGTGAATCCGCAAAATTTACAGCCCTCAAAAAAGGCACCCTATGGTAAATTTTTGGCCTCACCCAAAATTTGTGTAGGTGAGGACTATGTAAAACTGTTGTCTGTCTGTTGTTCATTTATTGTTTGTGCTCGCCACTTTTGTCTTCAAGAATGCATATCTTCACTGCTTATTCTAAGCCTGTGAGACATTTTTTGCTTCACTGCCTTGTGATGTTTAGTGGGCAGTGCTATACAAGAAGATTTTAAACTTGTCATGAGAAATGCCCAGCAATAGCTAGTAGTTTGAGACTCTTTTTCAGTGAATTAATTGAAACTATTGATTTTATATTTGCAGGATTTATATTTTTTGGCAAGTTCAGTGTAGTGATGCATGCATGCACTTAGTCCTGAGCGGGGGTGGATCTAGGATTCCCTCTAGATCTAACCTGTTTATAACATACCCTTTACTGATTTAAGAAAATTCACAAAGATGGTGTAGAGTACAATACGGTGTAAAAGTTACAAGGGCTGTAAATAAAAATAAATTTGAAATCTTTTTTGGAATCTATTTTGATTTTCACTTCTGCAAAAAATCTAAAATTATATTTAATTGCAGCTCATTTAATTTTTGCTGTAAAGTATTAAAATTTGTGTAACATTTATTTTTCATGGCATCCTGCACCAGTCATTGTTAATAGTAGCTATACCGTATAGTAGTAATTTTGGACGGGATAAATTTTGGCAATTTTTGATATTTTGATACCCATTTGCTAAATTAAAGCCCACCATTTTGTACCATTATGTGCATGCTCACTACAATTTTGACAAAATTAAAACCTGCCAATCAAGTAATTTGCCAAATTTCTCTCCCCAATATACCAGTTTATTTTTGCAAATCCAGATTTTGCTTAATAGCTTGCAAACTGCACCACGTGCACTGCAATAAAGATGCAGAATTCAGTTATTTTAATTTTTGTAGTAATGCAAAAAAACACAAAATTTGTGAAAATATTTTACCACAAAAATAAACTGGTTTAGAATATTTTATGCATTGTTGTAAGTATTGTTAAGCTTCAGCACAAAATTGATGAATTTAAACCTTTGCAAGACATTGCTTATAATTTGATGCAAAAAAATTATATGATTCACTGCAGTAAAAATGAAACTTGAAAGTAATTGCATTGATGCATAGTAGATGCAAAGCTTTTGATACAGGAATGCTTAAAGAGCGAGGCTAGTGTTGTTTCTAAGTTAATGCCCTGCATTGATATGCTTGAGAAAGTTAATGATATGATTTTAAAAGCTTTTATTATTATTATCATTGTTGTTATTTGTTTTGTTGTTATTGTTGTGTTATTTTTGTCATTGTTATTATTAATATTCTTGTTTTAGGCGTACATGAAATTGAAAATAATGTGAAAGGTCATCCTGAACTAAATCTAATTGCTTTTTTTTTGCGGCAGAATTATTATGACTTAGTGGCAGATGTACAACAATCACTAATTGATCACGAAGTTAATATCGAAGTGATTAAAAGAATGATCAAGGTATATTTGAAAGGAGAAACTGAAGATTATCTAATGCAGAAGAAGTGTATTGATCTTTTGGAGATTCAGGATTTCAATAGTTTGTTTGATTTCCTAATTGATAATCACTTCATTGGTTACCTCAATTATAATCTTTTGAAAAGAATATCAAAACGTATTCCACAAGATGTTAGCCTTAAGAATCAAGTTAATGACTATGAAAAGACTTACGCTAAACTACTAAATAAAATTTCTTGTAATGATGCGATACCTTTGTTTAAGGAATGGTCCCACCTTTATCCCAATGCTCCTATTGGTTTGCCTTGTATCTCTTTTCGTCTTAGTTCCCCTTGGCCTTTTCAGCGCTTTTATACCTGGGTCTCAACCTTTGGTAAATTTTCATGGTCAGAATATGCATTTCTTAAACAATTACGAATGAACTGTGTCATTGTCACTTATGCTATACTACCATGTGTGCTTGATGATGTCATGAAAGACCTCGAGAATGAAGAAATATTGAAGAAGCTAAAGGATGAAGGAGTTACTGTACATGAAATGCCAGGTGAGAAATAAACCTAATCACACAAACAACAATATTTAATTTTATACAATGGCACTTTTATTTATGAAACAGTTAATGAACTTATTAAAGCCATTCAAAATACTTCTATTGATGATGTTACCTGTTTGCTAAAGAATGGTGCTGACCCTAATGTTTCTG